CCAGGCAGCAGCCCCTCAGCCCCCACCACCAGGCGGGGCTCGGCCCTCCTCAGGAAACTGGGCCACCTGGGAAGCTGGCCCACCACCCGGCCCTCTCTGTTTCTGCCCATCTCGAGACAGGCAAGTGGGACTGGGGCTGGAAACTCCCTGGAGGAAGTTTGGGACACTGGGAATCTGGGAGAGACTGAGAGAAGGAGCTCTGGACTGGGAGGCAGGAGCTCTGACGCCAATCTGCTTTGTGACGGAGGCGGGCCAGGGCTCCTCTCTGGGCCGCAGTTTCTGCAGAACCAGGACCCCGGAAAAAGTGCCCGTCATGATCCCTAAGACACAAGCTAATTAAAGCACTGAACTTTTATACAGTAAGTGCTCCTAAGTGTCAATCATCACTTCTATTAATTATTATTTACAAAAACTCACAAGGGGCTGCAGCATTCTCTGGAACAATAGCTTCACCCCACCCTGAACACCCCATCATTCCCTCAGACGCAGGCCAGCTGGTGGATATTATTTGAAGAAATCCACCCCCTCACTGATTAGAAAAATCCTTCCTCCCCGAGCTGGTCTCCATGCCTGCTCAGGTGTCTTGAAAAAAAAAAAAAACCACAGGCTTTGGAGGGTTTCAACCCCAGTCCTCTCCCCTCTCTGGGCCTCTGTGCTTGTTAGTGCGGTGCTGGGAAGGGCGTGCAGGGAGCTGGAGGACCAGCGGTCCTGGCCGTAGTGCTGGAGGATTCCCCCACGCTCACCCGCGCGTGTCAGAGAGCAGGATGAGACAGCGTCTGAGAGGGTCCAGCACCTTAAATCTCATAAAGTCCCCTTCCCACCACTCCTCTGGGTGTAGGACTTCTTAAAAATAGACTCTGGACCTCCGATCTGAACTGTCAAGACACCGAGGGAAAACCAGAAGTCACTCTCAGGTGACATGTACGTGACATCTCCACATCACCAGTGTGTCTGAGCCTTCCCCATCACCCCCCGCCCCCCGGCAGGGATGGCTCCAGTTCCTACCCTAAAATGGGGGCGTTTGAGCCCAGAGAGGCTTCGTGACCTGCCTGAGGTCACAGGTCCAGGGCATGAGTACAAGGACCAGGATGGAAGCCAGGTCCCTTCTCTCTGGGTCTCTGGGCCTCTGGGCTTCCCTGCCTCTATGGGGACCCAAACAAGAGAGCCCTGTCCCACCCTGTCATCCGAGGGACAGCAGCTCAGCCTTCTATACTCACCTGTGGGGCAGAGGGGGGCACCCAAAACCCACCTGGGTTCCATGTACAGAGTTAAAGCGTGGCTCACAGTGTCCTAAAGAATTCTCCAGAGTTGAGGCCCCGAAAGGCAAGGTGCTTTGCGCAAGGCTGCCCAGCAACCCTGGGTGTGTCATACCAGGTGCGCGAGACACTCATGCATCTCCTGCTCTCTGGCGGATTGGAAGGATGTCACCAGGAAATTAAGGGATAATAATGATAATAACAGCTTGAGAAGCTATGTTGTGCCAGGCATTGTACTAAGGACTTTATGTGCATTAATCCACTCATTCCTATTATAAGCTTCCTTGTACAGAGGTGACATAAAAAGGTTAAAGAACTTGCCAGAGGTCACAGAGCTAAGGAGCAGTCAGTGAATCTGGGCAGAATGAGGTGGAGCTGATGGGGTGGGGGGCTGAGGGACAAGACCATGGGCATCACTGAAGAATCTATTCAGCACCAGGCAGAAGGGGTCTTCAAAGCATCTCAGACAACCTTCATCCTCAGAGACCAAGTCCAGAGGGGTGAAACAACGCAGCCGAGCTCACAAAGCAAGTTAGACCACCTCCTTCTAACAGCCCCACTCCATCCCACAGCCCATGCCAAACTCCACAGCTGCTGGGCATCAGGTGTGGCCCCACAAATTCCTGTCCCAAAGGCAGTTGCACATCTGTTCTTAGGTAGATGAGCAACCTTTCTTGAAGGTACCCCTATTTCTACATAAACTCCCAGAGACAGGAGTAAAATGTTGCAGTGTTGCAGGCCACCACCAGAGGGCGCTACGGGTAGAGAGCCCAGTTTGGGCGAGGACTGCCTGGTTCATTGAACTGTATTACCTGCCAGAAGTTTTCTCACCAGAACATGAAGTAGAAATGACATGTCCTAGGTGAGGAAAGAGAGAGGAGCAGCAAGATGTGTCCAGGCAGACGCCAAGAAAACTGCAACACAGAAACCCCTCTGGGGGGTTTGTTATTATTATCTAACAATAACGGCCAGCACGTATTGTGGGTTTACAACGTGCCAGGCACTGGGTTGGAATCCTGACTCGAAGTTACCAGCTGTGCAGCCCTGGGCATGTTCCTCAACTGCCTTGTGCCTCAGCTTCCTCATCTGGAACATGGTGGCAACCTTAGAGTCACACGGGTAAAATGCACCCCTATGTGTGAGGCCCCTAAGATAGCTTCTGACACATAAGTGCGGTAGCAGTATCAATATTATTTACCTTTCACTTACTGTTCATTCGTGGGCTCCTTACTACAACTGTGTGAGTTGGACACCTTTATTAGCCCTCCCTTTACAGCTAGGAAAAAAGAAGCAAAGAGAGATCAAGGAGTTGGTCCAAGATCACACAGCTGGGAGTAGTAAAGCTGGAACTCAACCCAGGCAGCCTGGCTCTGCAGTGTGAGCCCAACCCGTACGCCATCCTTCCTTCGAGACAGAACGTGCAAGGCACAGGTCTCGTACTCAGACACCCCCTCCAAAGACTGCACCCTATTCCCACAACCAGTGAAAGGACCTGAGGTACAGAAAGACGCATGACTCGCTCAAGGACACCCAGCTAGAATCTGTGTAGGGAATCGAGTCATTTCCAAACCAGGCAGGAGGGATAGCCTGTAGCAGACCCAGCTGGGCTGGGCTGGCCTGGCAAATCTCTGTCACCCATTTCACAAATGCTGAATGCCCACTAGCTTGGCCCCTGGTTACAGGCAGTGAACAACCCAGCCTCTGCCCCTTCCTCAGGGCCCTCCCAGTGTAGGGAAAGTGGGAAGTAATGCAGTGAATTCCTCTCCTTCCTCCATCCCCTGAGCAAGTGCCGCCACCACTCACACCTCAGTTTCCTTCTCTGTAATATGAGGATTTTTGTGATGCTTCAGTGAGGCGGGTGATGGAAGTGAAGCACTCAGCCCAGAGCCTGGCACATAGTAAGTGCTTAATACATATAAGCTATGAGTATTACCATCAGTAATTACAATGGGAAGAAATGCTGAAGGAGAAGGAGGGGGTCTGAGTATTTAACTCAGTCTGACGCAATATTCCCCGAACATTGGGGCTTGAGTACTAGGTCTGACTCCTACAGTGGGAGGTGGGAGACTCTCCAGACTGAAGGCAGGCAGGATTGGGTGGGCGGCGGTGCTGAGAGGCTGTGCAAGCCTCCTCCAGTTAAAAAACTGGTACCACCATGGCCCTGTCATCATCTGACCACAGAGCCCCTCCCTACTGAGGCCTCCACCCCAACCATCCCGTCACATCCGGGTGCAGAGGGTCCTGTGCAAGCAGCGGATAGGACAGAGATAAAACTAAGGGTACATCCTGTCTTCAGGGCTGGAAGACAGTCCACACAGGTTCGCCCTGTGACCACACTAAATGCCAGATGAGAGGCAAAGGGGGCCTAAACCCTACTGCTCTCTGGAGTCAGAGGGCAATGGAAACACGTGGTTGGTTCAGTATTAGGTTGGTAAGCTTGTGTTCGTATGCCAGACACTCTCCTGGGAGCCCCGGCCTCGGGGTCCTCAGGGAGAGTGCTAAGACCATGCTAGGCCCTGAGAGGCAGAGACAAACTGGGGTGGCCCATGCCCTTGGGAAACTGCTGTGGAACCCCCTGGGAGAGCCCCAACCTGCACACTCACCAGCCACTCAAACCCAACATGAACAGGATCTCTGGTCCAGCTCTAGCAAGGAGGGAAGAGGAGGCGGCGGAGGTGAGTTCTCACAGGCAGGCAGACGTCAGAAGGCATCCAGTGGAGCAGGGAGCAAAGCAGGTGCCAGAGCAAGTGTAATGCAAGGAAGTCCCCTTCCTGGAGCTCCTATTACATGCCACTCACTTGACCTGAAATCCCCTAGCACCCCCCGGGATGGGGTGCTGTCTACCAGGTGTGTGATCCACTCAGGTGACATCTTCCCATCACAGATCTCGTCGGCGCCAGGCACAGGCTGGGCACACAGATCCGCCCCGGGAAGCTGGGTCTGTTGAGGGAGGCAGACAATTAAATAATCTTCAGCGAAATCACTATTTCAAGCAAGTAAAATGCACAATTATGATAGCTAATATTTATATAGCAATTACTGTGTGCTCGCTTTCTCTCCATTTCCTTACATGGGAAACGGGGATTGCAATGAAACCTGCTTGGTAGGGTCTGTAACCATTAAACGAGCCAACATGGGGAAAGCGTTGAGGGAGAACCTGGAGCACAATAAAAGCTTAATACGCGGCTCTACTCATCACCGCACCGAGTATTTCCAAAACCCTGGGAAGGAGTGTCCCATTACAAGCTCTGTTTTGCAGACCGGGAAACGGATTCAGAGAAGTTACAGAACAACAACGGCAGAACGCTGTCAGAATGGGGAGAGCATGAGCTTGGGCGGCAGGCTGCTGAGGTTTGAGTCCTGGCTCCGTCCTTGGCTGGCGGTGAGCTCGGACTCTGTGGGACTCAGTTTCTCTGTCTGGAAAGGGGGTGTGGTACAAATAAGACCTTCACCGTCGGATTGTACGCACTTGACAAGCTAGGGAAAACCAACCCGGTAGAACAGGGCGGACACACTGCCCCCGGAGGGTGGGGTGGGGATTCCTTCGACTGCAGTCCACGCAAAAAGGATTTGAACCCACGCAGCCTGACACCAAGAGCAGGCACCAAAGATGCCCGACAGCGACCGTGGCCTTACCAGCAGCCATCATCTCCCAGGAGCTGGAGGGCTTGGGGAGCGATCTGCCCCGAGGGGGAGCCCTCTTCTGTGCCTCACCTTCCTCCGGCTCCCTTCTCGCCCCTCCAGGTTACGCCCCGCACTGCCTTCCTCCCAGCAGCTACGATGTGGACCAGAAGCCCGGCCTGGAGCTGGCGCCCGCCGAGCCTCCGTACCCGCCCGCGGCGCCAGAAGAGTACAGCGACCCCGAAAGCCCGCAGTCCAGCCTGTCGGCGCGCTACTTTCGCGGGGAGGCGGCCGTGACCGACAGCTACTCCATGGACGCCTTCTTCATCTCGGACGGGCGCTCGCGGCGGCGGCGGGGCGGGGGCGGCGGGGACGCGGGGGGTGCTGGAGACGCCGCGAGCGCCGGGGGGCGCGCGGGGCGCGCGGGGGCGCCTGCGGGCGGTGGGCACCGGCACGCGTGCGCCGAGTGCGGCAAGACCTATGCCACGTCCTCGAACCTGAGCCGCCACAAGCAGACGCACCGCAGCCTGGACAGCCAGCAGGCGCGCAAGTGCCCGACCTGCGGCAAGGCGTACGTGTCCATGCCCGCTCTGGCCATGCACGTGCTCACGCACAACCTGCGCCACAAGTGCGGCGTGTGCGGCAAGGCCTTCTCGCGGCCCTGGCTGCTGCAGGGCCACATGCGCTCGCACACGGGCGAGAAGCCCTTCGGCTGCGCGCACTGCGGCAAGGCCTTCGCCGACCGCTCCAACCTGCGCGCTCACATGCAGACGCACTCGGCCTTCAAGCATTACCGCTGTCGCCAGTGCGACAAGAGCTTCGCGCTCAAGTCCTACCTCCACAAGCACTGCGAGGCCGCCTGCGTCAAGGGAGCCGAGCCGCCCCCGCCGCCCCCAGCCGGCCCCGCCAGCTGAGCCTCCCGCGTCACCGCCGCGCCCGGAACTCGCTCTCCACGCGCCCCGGGCCCCCTACCTGTGCCCTCTCCAACCCCCAGCTGCGTTTCCCTGTCCACGACCCTCGTGGCGCCCCCTCTCCCAGCCCGGAACTTTTCTCTCCAGTCCCAAACCCACAACTCTCCTGGCACTGTCTTCCCCAGCGCATCCCGACCCGTGTGAGTCCTTTCCGGCTCCCAACACTCGGACCTTGACCCCCTGTCCGCCCCCTCAAGGCTCCCAACTCAGGCACCAGGTCCGCGCCCCAGCCGGGGCTCAGAGCCGGGATTCGCGCCCACCCAGACCCCGCGCCTTTCCCCTTCCAGCGCTCAGACCTTCCCTCTCACTTCTCGGCTGAGGCGCCGTGACCACTCCTCCACCGGCGGCCCCAGTCTAAGGCTCAAACCTACCCTCGACTGTCACGCCTGCCGCCTGCCTTCGTTTCCCCATCCACACTCGGACGCAGGGCCTGCAGCCCCTACGCCACATTCCAGCGCGCGGCCATCCCTCGGGCCTCTTCGGGGAGCCTCTTCGTCTGTGTCAGCCCTCATCCCCGCCGCACCAGGGCCTTAGGCCAGACGTTCACACACAGCCATCGCGCGCCCACCGCTTCCATCCCGGGGGTCCTTCCCAGCCACCTCCTGCTCTCTGCAGACCCCCTCTTCCCTCCAGCACCTCTCGCCCCTCAGAGTTCTCCTGGCCTGGGGCAGACTTCAGGGGCAGCTCAGGCCCCATCCCGCAAAGAAACCCCTCCTTCGCCCCGGACGAGTCTCTCCCTGGGCTTCCAGACTCCAGCTGCCCAATCCCGGTTCTATGAGCACTTTCCCTCCCCAGGACTGCAGGAACCCCTCCTTATTTGTTGCAGGGAGGTCTGGGGCACCTCACAAACGCCCTTGCCCTGTCCGTCTGGGCCTCCCCAGTTATTTATTTGTGTATTTATTTATTTATCTATTTATTATTCTATTTAATCTCTTGTCCTCACCCAGGGACCGTCTGGCTTCCCCAGCTGGACTGGGAGGTCAGGGAGCCAGACAGGGAGAGGGACAGCAAAGGCCATAGAGGGCTGTCCACCCCACCACACCCCACGCCGTCCGGGGGAGTGAGAGCGCAGCCTCACCCTCATCAGAGCCCGAACTCGCTGGGGAAGGAGGCACAAACATGGGAGGCCGGCCTGCTGACCCTCAGCTGGGGGGTGGGCAGAGGTGTCGGGAGGTCCAGGCCTGGGGCAGGTCCCCACCCTCCTGAGCCTTCCACTCCCACTCCAGGGAGACCGGAGAGAGGAGCCTCCTCTTTCGTTTCCTATTGATTCCTCTTCTCGAGGGACCCCAGGTTCCAGGGACCGACTGAGCCCCGGACCCCGCTGGGGCCTCCCTCCCGCTTCGCTCCCCGGGAGGAGCGCTCCCTCCCGGCCACGTCTATGCAACTCTCCCGGGCAGAGGGGCTGGGGCTGCCAGTCGCCCCCCGATGGCCGCCACTACCTCCCCAGCCGCGCTTTGGCATGCCCGGGCGAGGACAGAAGCACACACCTCCGCGCTTACGGGGCCGGCCCTCTCGGCTTTAAGCACACGCCTCTGCCCCAACGCTAGGCGCCCACCCCCGGGGCAGGAGTCCTGGAGTCTCCGCCCCTCCCCCTCTGCCCCTCGCCACAAAGGAGGGTGGAGACTGGAGGGGACCCTGGAGTAGGGCCACTTCTCTAGGGCTTCCCGGCTCCAGGCCCACCCCGGAAAGAAGGCGGCAGGGATGGGGGGAGGAAAAGGCGTCGCAGAAGCAATTACGGAGGGTGTTGACCCTGTAAATAGGAACTTCCGACAGCAATAATTTTCCATGCATGCTAGCCTTTTGGCCATATTTTGTATGAGCGCTTGGCGCTCCCCCTCCCTCCTCCTCCCTGTCTCCTGACCCAGACCCCCCATTCCTCCCTCACTTCCAGCAGTATTACTTGTAACGCAATTCAGGGATATTAAAGGGACTTTGGCCACTCATCAGCGCCTCTAGACCTTGTGATTGGGGTGGGGACGGGGGTGGGGTCGGGAAAGTGCTGAGAGGAAGCGGGATTTTTCCTACTCCATTTCCCTCCGCGTAGCCTGACCAGCCTGTAGCTGCCACCAGGGGTCGCACACACCCAGGGGTCCCTGACGTCCAGGGCATCCTCAGTCCTAAATAGTCCTCAAACACTGGGGTCCACACTCAAAGAGTTCAGGAGCCAAATTAATAACGTAAGTGAATACAGCAGATCGCCCAATACATTGGGGAATGGTGGAGCCTGTGACTAACGGGAAAGAATGTGTCTCGGCTTGAAGAATCGCAATTCTAACCATACCCCCAACCAGACTGGGAGCCACGTTTGTCCCTAGACAGCCAGCTTACAGCCCCTGCACTCTGCCCCACCACACGCCTTCCTGCTCTGGCCTGAGACCTCCTGGTGACACTAACAGCAAGGGTATGCGTGCAAAAAAAAAAAAAAAAGCTGACTTTGGCTGAAAGTTATCCAAAAACAATGACCTGCCGCTAGAGGTCACGGGCTACCTGTTGTTAAGTGTTCAGGAGGCCATGACCAGTCCACCTGCTGTGCTAACAGTCTTGGTGATCTCTCAAAACACAAATCCGCCCTTGCCTTACTCAAAAGTGGGGGCCACCAACCCCAGGCCACTAAACCCCAGCCCCCCACACATAGGCACAGAGCGGTGGGGCCTGTGCTCTTCGAGGGGCAGATGCCAGGTGGGGGGCAGGGGCTGGAGGTTGGCAGCCCGTCTCCTCTCAGGCTGCCTTTCCGGTTTCCTCCTTTTGTACGCAGTGCACTCAACTTTGGGGCCCTCGACCTGTGCACCTCTAGACCCTGGTGCCTGCCCACCTTTCCCTTCACACACTCTGCACAGGCAGCTGCACCCCCGAGCTGGGCGCTGGGCATCTCCAGCAATGACAGCAGTGTGGGAACCCCCACGAAGTCTCCACCGGGACTGTGAGGGGGAGAGGCACCTGCCGCCTTCCCTGGCCATCCACACGCAGTCCCCTGCGGCTACTGCGCACTGCACCTGAGTGGCTGGTGCATCAGTCCCATTTGTTGCAAATCCAGGGAATGGAACCCACTCTCTGTTAGCATTTTATAACATCTCATTCCTGCATTAAATCTCTTCAAAGTGGAAAGTAGTTCACACAGGGAACTGGCAGCTGAAAAAGATTGTTGCAAGGGCTGAAGGCCCTCATCTGGGCCCCGGCGTGCCCCACAGAGCTGGCCCACGAAGGGAGCCGCTGCCCCTTCCATAACCCACGGGGGCGGTCAGGAGGCTGCACTCCCGAGTTCAGGAACCGGCCCAGCAGGTGTGACCCAGGGATCCGGAAGTCCCTGCCACTGCCTCCGTAACTTCTCCCGTCTCCTACCACCCTGGTGGCTCACCCTGGAACAGTGTCACAGGAAAACCTGGCACCTCCACGACCATCTTGCCAGTGGTAAGAGACAAGGCAATAAGGAAATGGCCCCGCCCACTTCTGCCATCCAAACCCCACAGAAGCACGTCTAACTGGCAGAACCTAATCCCTGTCAGTCTCCTTGCTGCGAGGAAGTCTGAGAAATGTAGTTTTAACTCTCCAACACCCAACATGGAAGGCACCCAACGGGGAGATGGGAATGGACTATATCCGGCCCAAGTGTAGGTCCGTCATCCATCCCATCCTTCCCTCCTTGATCGGGAGCCATGCAATTTGGGGACATCAGCTTAAGGGGTGGTCTTAACTGGTCCAAGAGTGATCTCATCCCCTATGGGGTGGGAAATGAGGATATGACTCAATTTTAGCTAATTAGACTTAAGGAGAAGTTCGCTGGGGAGCTTATGGGGAATTTTGCTTCTTCCCCTTCTCTCAAGAGAAAGAGATCGAATGAGGTCTTTCCCCCTGGACATAAACAAAGAAGCATGTCGTCTCGTGACCACGAAGGGAACCAGCCTTGGCTGGTAGCACGAAGCTCACAACCTGGATGGCAGAGCAGAGAGATGGGAAAAGTGCACTTCCCTGGAGACGCCCGGGAGTCTTGGGAAAGGCCACCCTGAAACCCACTCAGTGTGCTGCCTCTGGACTTCATGGTGAGGGACACGAGTGTCTTCACTGTGTAAGTCCCTTGAACCAGTAAGTCCCTGTTGCCTGCAGCCTGGAGCACCTCAACCAGAATATCAGTCCGGCTCGCTCTCCACAATTCTCTCAAAGGTCTCCATGATGCTACACTCTGGTTTTCCTCTTACCTGCCTGGCTGCCCCACCCAGCCTGTACCGGAGAAAGGAGCCTACTTCCTGCTCCTCCTTGTGTTCCAGTTTGTGCTCCTCAAGGCTCTCTCCTAGACTCCTCTTCTCACTGTATATTCTCATGACGTAATCTCATTACGCCCATGGCTTCCATTTCCAGCCACAGGCAGATGACTCACAAATTCCCATTTTCAATTCCACCCTCCTCTCTGAGCTGCAAATCCGTATCTGCCTGCAGGCCACCTCCACAAGAATGTCCCAGAGGCACCACGGGCCAGCCCGAGTCTGGAGCCATGCTTTGGTTCTCCTCCAGGGTTTCCCACCTCCGTGAACGGCACAGGCGCCCATCTAGCCTTTCTCCCAGAAGGCCTCTCTCCCAGCCCTGTCTCGCCCACCCTCCCACCCAATCCATCACCAGGTTCTGTTGATTTTTCCTCTCTGTCTTCTCAGCCTCCAGCCTAGTCCATACCTGCCATCATCTCTTACCTGGACAAATGGACTGGCCTTCTCACTGGTCTCCCTGGGCCCATCTTGCCTCCCACACCTTCCATCCTCTCTCCACAGCAGCCGCAGGGATCTGTTTAAAAATGCAGATCTTATCCTGTGACTCCTATCTCTATTCTCTGCTCAAAACACTTCCACGACCTCTTGACCTCGCACTGTATGAGGGAAAAGCGGAACTTGCTTAGGGAAGCTTTGAAGCCTGACCTGGTCTGGCTCCTCCCATCACTCCAGCTGCATCTCCAACCAGTGC